TGAATGGTTTTGTGTGTTTTTTTAAAGAAAAGATGTGCCTTCACTATCAACTGTTTGGGCTTCTGGAGACTGAAGCAATGCAAAGCAAACTCTAGAGGGTCAGTTTAATAAATGTTAAATATGGCATTGAACATAAAATCAGGAAGTTTAGCATTCAAGTCCAGCAAGTTTTTAGACCTCATGGCTGCTGAGAAAAGGTTAAAGTCATACGGGAGGGTTTTTTTAATTAAAAAAAATATATCAAACGTGTGGATAGCGTTTCTAGCAGGCAAGAGATCATACCTGCCCCATCATTATAAGTCTCACCTCTTTACTATGTTTCCTGGGCCCTGCTCACACACTGTAGAACACCTTTTGCCCCTTAGATGCCAGTGCACAGTCTCTAGTTACTGGGTAAATTTACTGGGTAAATGAATAAATGGATGCATATCTTTTTGGTTTATAGATTGGATTTCTGATCATGAAGGCACATTTTTTAGTGTACTTCCAGAAACGCCTACAGCCATTCCATTTGTTGCTACTGCTGCTATTGTTCAGTGAATGGCTTTGAACTGTCCTCCCAAATCTTGCTTCCCCCCCCTCTCTCTCTCTCTCTTGCTTTGCTTGAATGTAGGGCATCCTTACTGCCTTGGCAGGGGATTCTCACAAAAATGTTGTTTTGGCACGGCTAAATTTTCTATTCTCAAGCCTTGTTTGGTAAATTTGATCCAAGCAGTAGCTGGTGTACAAGGGCTGTTAGGAGAAGATACAGTATGCTGCTATTAAGGCAGTAAAATGTCAGTGGTCACCTATGCCTGTTGTGCTGGTCTTGATTTAAAAAACAGCATGAGTTTGAACAGAATCCACTTGCTAATCCTATTTGTTTCGTTAGCATGCCTGTTTGTGCATTCACTTACTGCTCAGCCAATTATCTTAACAGTACTGGCGTCTTTCCTAAAACAAACACCAAAACTGCAGGATATGGGCTTCTTGTTTCCTTTGCCTAGTGTTTCTGTACACGTGCACATTAGAAGGGAACGACTTATTTGGATGAGTGAAACAAGTCCACATTCTGCACATGATGGGTCTTAAGTGGAAGCTTTTGCATTAAGAATCCATTATCTTCTTCTACCTTGAAGCACATTCACCACCTCAGCTCTTCAGACAGGCAGAGCAATGGCATTTCTTAGCTTCACCCAGAATGAAGACTGTATCTTCATATGGCAATTCCAGGAATCTGCCTTGTGACCTTAGGTCTGTATGGTATCCAGTTTGCTCTAGGTTTGCCTTTATTCTGAAACCCTGAAGCCTGCTTCAGTAGAGGCTAAATGTTCAGTAAGCATTTACCCCACAGCATGGAAGAGCTGTTCATGTGGAATGTAGCTGAGAATAATCAGGTTGCATATGTGATGCCAGATAGCTACAAGTGTTTTCACCTGTTTCCAGAAAGAAACACAATTTGAATCACCTCTGCAGTTGCATTATTTGCTCTGCCAATCAATGTACATGGGAAAGCATGGAACAAGCATGGAATAAACAGTTATGGGACTTATCCTGGATACTCATTTATTTTGGGGGGGGGGGTTCTCTGGCTTTCCTTAAATTTATAGTTTAATTTATAGTTTTCTCTGGCTTTCCTTAAATTTATAGTTCCCATCCTTCCAAGTAAATCTAACCTCTAGGTTAGATTTCTGCAACAGCTTTTATGTGGGGTTTTCTCTGAAGATGGTTCAGAAACTTCAGCTAGTGCACAATTCAGCAGTCAGGTTGCTCACCCGGGCAAGATGGTTTGAGCACATAACGACAATCCTGGCCCTACTACGCTGACTGCCAGTTAGTTTCTGGGCCCAGTTCAAAGTGCTGGTTTTGACTTATAAAGCCTTAAAGGGCTCAAGAGTGCAATACCCCAAGGACCGCCTCTCCCCATGTTAACCAACCCAGACACTGCGACTGTCACCTGAGGCCATTCTTTTGAGTGCCGCCTCTGTGAGAGGTTGGCAACACAAGACTGTGCTCCCCACTTATGGCTCCCAAGGGAGCTTGCCTGGCACCTCCAATACCTGCACCCTTGATCTCCGCATCCTGCCTAATTACCATTTCCAAACTAGTGGTCTGCTTTTAGCCCCTTCAAATCATTCAAATGATTGGTCCCCTGCTTTTTGCAAGGGCCAAAATGTTCTTGTAAATGTTCAGTTAGCAGCAGAGCAGCATTCAAAACTCCCATTGTTCTAGCGCGGTTTGTGACTGGGAATTTCATTAATGCAAGCAGTTTCTGAGCTCTGGGCCTTAGTACTGTGCCTAAGATTTCTTCCTCCCCACTTCCAGCCGCTCTCTGAGGACTGGAGAAGTAATAGTAGTAATAATTTATTATTTAAACCCCGCCCATCTGGCTGGGTTTCTCCATATGAACCCACATAGGAATATTGGGGGACGGGGGACGGCAGGGGACGTATGGATTTGTTTTTTGCAGTCTTCAGATGAGGACTAGACCATGTGAAAAATGAATATAAGGTTTTAGTAGAAGTTCATTCATTTTCAGCTTTGTAATCTTATTATAAAAAAGCACGCCTGGACATTCCGTTCTGGCGCCCTTAACCTAGGTTTAAGGTGAAATTTAGCTCCTAGCTTTCATAGCTCAGTTTCCAACACTGCAGCAGAGTATAGAGGGGTGTTACAGCATCCAGAAAAAAAAGCAGGGAGGGATGAAAATGCTTATTTTACATTGTCTTAAAACTATGAGGGCAAGTAATGACACTGGATTCTTTGCTTTCTTGCTGGTAGAGCAAACTTAGTTCTAGATCACCTATCTGAAAAGGTGGTCAATCTGTACCTCCTTTATTCTGGCTGGGATGGTACAGTGGGGGAAATACAATCTCAAATAATGACTGGATTAAGATTCTCACTGCTGCCGATATTTTGTGTTGTGAAGGGTGCCTGACAGAAGCTTATTACGGAGCCACAGGCTCTGCTGGAATACCTTGTTTGCTGTAGCCCAAAATAAAAAATGGGAAATGAGGTTTTTTTAGTTTTTATTTTATTTCATTCTGTGTAAGATATTATAAATGCAGAGATTTTGATTTACATCTTCCTTGGATTTAAGTGACAGATGGCAACCTATTCCTAGTATCCTGCCCAATCACCTCGGTGCTTGCTTGTTACATTGAGACTGCAAATATGCTAGTTAATCTACAAGGGGAAAGTTTGAGAATTTGGAATGAAACCTTCTACAGAGGCCTGCTATCTTGATCTTTTGTGCTTTTGACTGTCATAGCTGAATCCAAATTTGCATCCAGTAGGAGTTGTTTTTATAGCATAAGCATTTTAGCACCACATGTGAAGGTAGCTTCAAAGGTTACAAATTTCCCACGTGGAAAAGCATTTGTTGGGACAGTGTGGAAATTGTTACATGACACATCTGTAGTTATGTTCAGTTGTTGCTCTCCATTTTGTTTATATGTTTCACAAAGTACAAAACTTGTGTGAGTGTCGCAAGAAACAATCTTCACACAGTTTACACATTTTTTCTCCACTGAAATACAGAAAGCCCCCCATTTACGCACTAAATATGTTCAACCATGTATTTGCACATTGTGCCGAACCTGGAAGTGACCCAGAAACGTCATAAAGACGTCACTAAAAGGGCAGAATGGGGTGTTTGCAGGCTTTTTCAATGAGTTTCAGTTATACACGATTTCCCCGATCCATGTGGTGCCTTGGAACATAACCCCCACATAAACGGGGCTATCTGTATTTTGTAGAAAATCTGCAAGCACTCCTTAACAGGCATGTATCTTATTAAAGAAGTGTGTTGCTTTTGTTGTAGGGCACATGTTCAGACAGTTAGCTTCCAGAGCTTTGTTATGCTAAACAGTGCTCAAGACACTTGTGGAACACTTCTTCAGTGGTACTTCATGTGTCTTAAGTCAACAAGGGACCTGTGCAATCACAAAATTTGTCAAGCTGACCTTGGGGACCTTTCACACCTGACTGAGCTTCTCCCTACTCAGAAGCTCTTAATATATGCCCTCAATATGCCATACTTCCAATTTTTGTTGCTGTAGGCAAGGCTAGGCTAGGCTAGGGTTGCTGCTTGTCACATGGGTTGAAAGAGTGACTACAGAAAGCATATCATGTCTGTCTTAAATTTTAGTTCCATTAGGTTAGTTAGATGCGCTTCATGATTGTCTAGTTTTCTTGCTCCCACATCTTGGAATGTCCCTAATGGCACTATCTTGAGGACTCCACAATTCCTTGGAGTCTTGGGTGGGTAATTAGCACAACTGTTATTAATTTCCAGGACTTCAATGCAGAATAGATATTTGAAGGGGAAGTGAAAGCATACTGAGGTATGTGTATATGTGTGTCAGACAGGTGCTTCTTAATAAACCTAAAGTAAAATAAAACTACACTTTCTTGACTCAGGTAGGCCTAATCTATTTGTCAGTCAGCTACCAGGCTAATGGTAATGCCATAATTAAGCCAGGCAATAATTATGTGGCTGCTTATAAGGGCCACACATAGGAACAGTCTTGCATGCAAAATTCCACCTGAGCAATATGGTCCTGTTTATGGTCCTTTACGGATGCATGTGTTCCTCAGTAGTCCTACTGCCTGATCCTTTAAGAAGGCCTTCTGCTGCCTTTAGGCATCATAGGGCTCTGCCACTGAATGCTTTGACAGGGTTAGCTTATATGTAGCTACCAAAGTTTACAGCCGCTCTTCACGCAAATAAGATTTATACCTTGCTACTTCTGGACATTCATAGCAATGTGCTGAAAATAACCAAATCCAAGTAGAAAATTTCAGAATGCAAATGACTCTCCACATAGTAGCAACCATGATCACAGGTGAATGGACAGGTTTGTGGGACCCGGCCTGATTATATAGTTCACATTTTGACAATATATGCTGCAAGTTCTGAAACTGATTATTTTGCCAAGTATAGTAGCATGTTTACGTCTTCCTATAGAGGTCTTATGGAGAAAAATGTCTTAATTTCCCATTTTCCTTTTGTATGGCAGGGCCTTAAACTCTGGGGTTGAGTACTACTGGGACCAGCTGAATGAGACCGTCTTCACTGTGCATTCCAACAGCAGGAGTACCGAGCGGCCTGGGTGAGTCTTGAAGGATGAGTGTAGGGGCAATCAGTCATAGCTTGGGAACACATGCTGAGCTGTATGTTTCTTCCATCGAATTTACAAGGGCTGGTTATGCCTATGTTTCCCTCTTATGGTGGCTGAATATTTAAAACTTATCTTCCCTTTGGCACTTGACTGACTACCAGTGGTTACATTTGGTCTATTCACTGGTGCAGGCTGAAATTTTAAAATACATCTGTCAACTGCGGTCCTTCTAGCTGCCAATCATACCCTCATTAAAGTCATTTGAGAAGCTATATGTGCTTTTTGTGAAAATGTTACATGAAATAGAAATAAATGATGGTAAAGGAAATGCTGCAAGGCGAGACTAGTTACAACCTAAAACAGAGAATCTGGCACTAACACTGAGGTCTTTAACCAAAATCATTCATAGAGATAAATGATAGAGGGATAGCTAAATAGACATTTTGACTACCATCTAGATCAGGCATGTCCAACTCCCCAGAGACTGTGATCTACTCGAAGTATAAAAAAACTGGCAGTGTTCTATCCATTGTCTTTGGAAGGAGGAGGAGCGTGCATGGGGTGGGTGGATTGCCCAGAGTTGTTGAGCTGTTTTTTAGGAGTGAAGTACCCAGAGTTTTTGAGCTTTTAGGGGGGGAGGATTGCACAGAGTTTTTTTAGCTTTTTGTACACGATAAGGATCCCGCAATCTACCAGGATCAGCTGGGCATCTACCAGTAGATCGTGATCTACTGGTTGGACATCCCTGTTCTAGATCATGTTTAGCCAGTATAGTGTCCTCCAGATGTTTTGGGTGACAAGTTCCAGCATTGCCAGTGGTCATGGCTGATGCAAACTATAGTGCAGAACATCTAGATCATTGTACAAAGAAGATGCTTATGGTGTTCACTGAAGTGCAGGACAAATTACTGATAAATTACTGTTTTCAGGGACATAGAGGATGTTGTGTGTTTACCCTTCAATTTCTTTCTCTCTCTCTCTTTAGAACTAGCAGAGCCACATGGAGGACAGACAGGGACATGGGTCTAATGAATGCCATAGGCCTGCAGCCACGGAACCCAACCACTTCTGTGACATCACAGGGCACACAGACTCTGGCTCCTCAGCTGCAGAATGCAGAGACACAAACGGAGAGGGAAGTTCAGGAACCAGGAGGTTCTGCTTCAGGGACTGCAGAAGGTTAGAACTGATGTAAAATAACCAAAAGTTGTCGTCTTATACGCTGTGTAAGGGAACATGGGATGTGACATTCTTAAAAGTAGAATCTATCTACTGTATTTTTCGCCCTATAGGACGCACTTTTTCCCCTCCAAAAATGAAGGGGAAATGTGTGTGCGTCCTATGGGGCGAATGCAGGCTTTCGCTGAAGCCTGGAGAGCGAGAGGGGTCGGTGCGCACTGCCCCCTCTCGCTCTCCAGGCTTCAGGAAGCTCTCCGCAAGCCTTGGGAGCCTTCCCGCTGTCCCCTGACATGGTTTGAAGGCTGGCGGCGGGGAGAAGCGCGCTTCTCCCCAGCGCCAGCCCCACAAGCTCGGGGGACAGCGGGGAGGTGGAGCGCCGCCATCCCGCTGTTCCCCGACATGTTTTTTTTTGGGGGGGGGAATAAAGGAATCCCCCCCTTTATTTCCCCCCCAAAACACTAGGTGCGTCCTATGGGCCGGTGCGCCCTATGGGGCGAAAAATACGGTACATATAGAAGCTGCCTTATCCATAGCCACAGCCTTCTTTGATAGAGTGAAAGAATCTTGTAATTTTTCCAGTGTAGGTTACCTTCCTTTTGGTCTTCACACCTCTTGAGCTTGTTGTTGAGGCTTGCATCTAAAACATTATCAATAAGCCAACAAATTGCTGCTCCTTCCTCAGATTAAAGAGTGCCAAAGATTCTAGCAAAGGAAACTTTTCTTCTCTGTGTCACTTGCAGAAGTTTAGAAAACATTTGTCTCACACATAACAGACCACAAACGTTGTGTGAATTGCAAACATTTGCAAGTATGTTGGGGACTTCACTGTATGATGACAAGCAACTGATGGAAATCAGTTGTTGGTCACCAGCACTGTGTCTCCTCCTGCGCTCTTCTCTGTTGTTGTTTTTCTGCCAGCAGGTACCCACATCTAAATAATGTTTTGATGCTTAGCTTCTGAAATAGTGTTTGCCACCTACCCATAGTCTCTTTGGGAACATATGTTTCACTTAGACCTTAGGTATACTCTTTGGGAGGGAAAATAAGTACCAGAAGGCCAGACCTCAAGAGATACTGAAGAACTGGCTTGATCTGGACTGTCTTGAATACTAATCATTCCCTTCCACTAGCTGTTTGGAAACACTGCCCACCCTATGTTCTGAATTCAGTAACTTTATTTGTTTTTATTATTATTCCTGTGCAACTCTGAGAGCTAGAGACTTTTAAAAGTTAAAGCTGGGATTCTGGAATTTCTTGTGAACGTGCTGGGTTTCAAGCTGGAAGCCAGATTCCTCCCACTGGTATCATTTGTAAAAGGCCACTCACACAGAATGCATCGACCTGTGCACATAGGAAGGTTCACCAGAAAATCAGATTGTTTGGAGTCATCCATATTAAAGTAAATCCTTAAAACAATTCTATAGTTCTCCTGTTTATCAGCTGCCCTATCATAGATGCAAGGCTTCCTTTGAACAAAGATATAGGGGTCTTTTCCACTTGCACTAAATAGAGATAGAGCATGTTAGTTTGTAGGACATAACACCTTGACTTGTCTTCTCAGTAAGCAATTCACTTTTTGTTACAGGCACAGCAGTTGCAAAATCAGTTACTGTGAAGTGATTGCAATCTTTCCTTCAGGTTTCTATTTGAGGATAAATTCAGAAAGTAGATTTGCATCAGATATCAGGAGCCACCACATTTGTCAGTAGATTGAGTGGATAATAATTGTGTTTGCTTCTAATGCTGAACTGTAGCTCCCCTACCCCCTGCTCTGCCAGCATGACCACCAGGAGAAAATTGGAAGCTTGTTTTCCCTATTTTTTATTATATATAGTTAATGTTACTTGATAACCCTAAATTCTGCTGAGTCTTTAGTATAGCTTAATAAAGCAAGCCCCCTTCATAAAATGCAGTTTGAGGTTGACTTCTTTTAGTAAACCATAGATAAGACAAACCACAGTTTGTCCAGGTTTGGATGTCACAGTCTGAAGGAGAAACTTAAAAGAAAACACAACACGATATTTTATTGAAAACATTTCAAATATAAAGCAGTAAATGAAAAAGAACAAAACACACAACTGTGTAAAGGGGGGGGGGGCAACACTGTATGAATATATCCAAAAAAGAGAAGGAGAAACTTTCCAATTTCTCTTTCTGACATTGACCAAAGGAGGAGGGCTTGTGAAGTCCTGAGGCTTGCTGCAGCTCATCTTTATAATATTAAAGCATGGTTTAATGTTACATGTGACCACAGAAACTGACTAATGCTATGGGTTGGGGGTTGGTGTAAATACTATAAAGTTATTGTTTCTTCTCTGCATAGCTCTCTTGAAGAAGATATGTGGCAGCAATTTTACCCAATTATTATTTTAACTGAAGACAGATAAACACTAAGGGTAAACCCACACTAGTATTTTACATGTATTTCATTTCACTTTTGCTCCTTATGATTCTCCACATGCTTCTTCCTCCCAACATTAGACTCAGTAGCATTTTGTTTCCTAGATATTTTTTCACAATAAACATTGAAAAGAGATTGGAGAACTTCAAGAAAATATGATACAGTGGCTAGTGACCAAGATCAAAATTAATGATGTTCTAAAGTGGCCCTTGGAATGTAAAATGCCGTTTACCTTCCCGCCGGAGCAGTACTTATTTATTTACTTGCACTTTGACATGCTTTCGAATTGCTAGGTTGGCAAGAGCTGGGACCAAGCAATGGGAGCTCACCCCATCGCGGGGATTTGAACCACTGACCTTCCGATCAGCAAGCCCTAGGCTTAGTGGTTTAGACCACAGCGCCACCCGCGTCCTTGTAATGACTCATATTCACTGCTAAAGAATAAATGTAAAAATAAAAAAGTGTGATAATGATGCTGGGGTAAGCAAATACATAGGAAGGACAAAACATCAGTCTAGACCTATCATACAAAAGCACGTACTAATTTAAATGAGGTAGAAAATTTCTTAAGGACCACTAATGCATACAGTTGATGGGTCCTTGGAATATACTCCACCCTCACAAAAATATCAGTGCAATCATGTTCCACTCTCACCCACAAGACAAAATAAGAGTCAAATTTTGTGTTTCCTTTATTTGAAATATGTCCACACTAACTAATGGCAACTTACCCCAGGGCGGGGTGGGAGGAGTGGAGGAGAAGAAACTAAATATTTACTGTTCAGTCTAAACATGCTCAGATTGCTACTGGGTAGCAGAGTTCCTAATGTCTTCCACTTTAATCCATTAAGCTGAGAGAATTTAGAATTCCTGTTTCCCAGCTTTCCCATCAGTAATTTGATAGTTCATAAAGATAAGGTGTGGATGCCTCTGCAAGTCCTCACTACTACAGTTTATCTTACCCCCAATAGTAAGCTTTTGGGAAGGGAAGGGGACCAGCGGAGAGGGCTGGCTCCAAGCATTGCTGGGCTTGGTACTTTCTCAGAAAAAGCCCAGAAAGACCACATTTCCCCCAAAGCTTAGAACAACTGAACTTCTTACAAGGCAAGCCAGGGGGTGAGGAGAAGCTCAGCCATAACTATAAAAGCGAAGCAGTATTCTCTGCCAATCAAGTAACACAGTTAGGATTCAAAAATTCCTGAGTGAATATCCCAAGTCTGCCATGAACTCGCCATGCAGCCTTTGAAAATGATTGAATTTGTCTGTAAAATGGAATAAACATTTCCTACAGTATTTCCCCAGGAGGTTTTGTGGATTAATTAGTATTTGTAAAGAGCTTTGTTGATGTAAATCATTATGAGACTGAATAGTATTGGTGGCACTCAGCAGGATGATAAAAGACATTACTCAGTTGGTTCAGTGACTACTTTGGAGGAAGACAGAAAAGGAGAAATGTGTGTTACAAATGGCTTGGATTGCAGGCTTTCTTAATATGTATAATACTTTGCCAGGGCAGGGCACTTTTTATCACAGGTGTCATGTGGAAAGACCTACAGCATAGCATTAGAAACAGGTCTTTGTCGCGTTGGTAAATGTAGCCCATTTCCCCTTCTGCAGGGTTCTGCAGAGATTGTCTTTCTGAGAGTCTCTGCTCCTTCTTTGGAAGGATGACGATAATGTGAGTAAACTTATTAAAAGTGAATCCCTCTAGTGCAGATGTTTCCTTTTCTGTCAGTTAATTGCTGTCTTGTGTACTCTGTTGCTGCTGAAGCCTGCATCAATAAAGAAATGTAAGTTTAGGCAAATGAAAATGACAAATGTTAGGCTCAAAGATCTCTTGCTGGTTAAAAATGTTTCCAGTACAAGGCAATATCCAATCCAATTCCACACTTTCAGTCCCATTGATTCCATGGGGGAGATTTAAGCACATGTTTAACTCTTTCATTGAAATAAACAGGACACAGATTTTGCTCATAATGGCTATTATTCTTATCACTTCTGGCCAAATACTGAGGTTGTCAACTTACAAATATGAGGGCACTGGCAGAACAGTGAAGGGGAATTGATCATATACCCAATCCTTGGCAAGTCGTCAAGCCTTTGACTTAATAATGAGAGCAATTGTTCTTAATTTTAAAATCAAATTCCTAAATAATTTGCAATGATGCAAAGGGAGATGGTGCAGCGTCTTGTCATATTGATGTCAGGGTTTCTTCCATGACTTGAGATTTGTAGCCAAGATATTTAAGAGTCCAATGAGAAGTCATATGGCATATGAGCTAGTGATAATCATCCTTGAACGAGTTTGTGGTCTTTTACCTTGAATATCTTTGTCCATTTCTGGGGGTCTCCAGTGCAGGGTGACTCTTCATTTTTCAGAACTTACTTCTGCAGTTATTCAGGTTCATGTAGAGTGTGTTGAACACATGTAGGAAAATCATTCTGGATGTAAAAGTTTCCCCAGTTCCTTGGGAAATACCTCCTTTAACTGTAGAGGCCTCCAATGTGGTTGCCAATTGCTTTGGAATCAAATTTTCAGGACTTTAGTCCTCCTTCAAATACAGTTAAGTCATTTTAAATGAGGAATCTGGTAGTTGCT